GTGCGGTGAGTTCGCTTTCTGAGTTCGAAAACGCGCTGAGCGCGAAAGCCCGCGAGCGTATCAGCGCAAAAGTGCGTATAGCGCTCAAATTCGCGAGTGCATAAGTACACAAGACTCATGTGCTCGAGAGTGCAGTGACCAACTATAGAAATAATGATGTATGCATGGAATCAGATTCTAGTAACGTAGGTCTACTCGGGGTACATCTCGTGTGTGTGGTAGTCTGCATATCGGTTAAAGTAGAAGGATTGGAAACCACTGTGTGTTTTAGAGTAATGGAATTTCTTTGGAAGATAAGTGTCGTCGGTCACGCCCTGTAGTAGACACGAGCGCACGATACAATCAAGATGGACAAGCTCGACACGACGCGAGCCGGATGGCAGAATCTCGGGCTCGACAATCCACATACCCGTGACAGGGTCTATCTCATCTGCAACCGGCATATGCCACTCCACGAGTGCACAAGGATGATCAACATCCGCAAACTCGAACGACAAGAAAGCCATCACCCGTCCGATGGCGAGACCACCCATGGGATCAGTTTCGGGGCCATTCTGTATCAGGACCGTATCGCGTCGCGCATACTGCCCATACCAACGGGAAGCACTACGGATGATCTCCATGTGCATGCCACCATCTCCAGCAACTTCGCTTGGTGCATAATAGAGGGCACGGGCAGAGCCAAAAACAGCTACGTTGCCTTCGAACAATGGGCATTCGTTGAGCGGGATGATGTCTGCGGTAAGGTCGGGGTCGGGATAGAGGTAGTCTTGCAGGTATCGCCGAATGAGCTCGAGGAGGCGTGGTTGCTTTAGATCGTGTGCAACACGAGCAATGGGACGCGAAAACTCTAACGAGGCTATCAGAAAAACCTTCTAGATTGACAGAAAGGCAACGACGCACTATACTTGGAAGCAAGAAACACCGAGATGATCTGTGCCTCTCCTTCTGCCTCATCCGCATCTTCGTCATCCTCTCCGTGCTGATATGCAGCCACCGCATCTGCGTCTTCATCGTCGTCGTTACTCGGCCCCTGCCGCAATCCGAGAACACGACGAAGGCGGGACATGACATCCGGGCTGCGAATCATCCCGCGACGAGCGAATTCGTGGCGTAGCGCTGCGAGCTTGGCCATGCGTATGTTCGTGCGAAGCATCTGCCAGATGGCGTTGTTGCGATTCGAGCGGCGCCACGGCCTCTTGACGGCCGCGATGTGTTTGGATTCCGTGATGGACGTGCAGAGTCCATTCGGGGACCCAAAAAGCTTGATACCCCGCACGTAGTGCCACAATGCGTGTTGCCGGGGCAAATTGAAGTCGTCACGAACACCGTCCATGCGGAAAGACTCGCGCAGAAGCTTGTAGCGTGTGAGGCACTCCTCCATCTTCTGAAGGGTCACAAGGGTATGTGACGAGCGGCGAGCGTAGTAGCAGAAGTCCATGAATGCTCGAATAGCCTTGATCATATCATTGGGCAGGTGACCGACGAGAGCCGGAATGATGACCTGCACCATGAGATCAGCAAACCCTAAGGAAGACGTGTGTACGCGAACGGACCTTCATCAGAGCCTTCGAGTCATTGCCCGTCCACTGCTTGAAGTTTCGTCCTTGTGGGAAACGTCGTAGACCTGGAAACGGCGGCACGGCAGCAATTCTGCGAGGCATCAGTGCAGGCTCGAGTCTAACGATAGATGAGCGGCGTACTTCCGATCAATGTCGTCCATGATCTTCCGAGCTTCGGCCGGTTGATGCACGGCCTCGACATACTTCTGGATCCAGGAGACGATGTGGTCTTTGAACGACCCTTTGATGAGCTGATGAAGGAGGTCGGGTGTGATGAGCTCGTAGATATCGGCGCGAGGGAACTCGTTGGTGAAGGGCTGTGATACGAAGTTAGCACAAGGAGATAGGAAGTGACAGTGTCATGTACACGCACCACGACGTCACAGACGATCCCGTACGTATCCCACAGATCCTCTGCATCGAGATGTTCCATGGCATGGTCGTACTTGGCACGTGTACGACGGGGTCCCGCACCGTCTTCGAGCTCGGTTGCCTGCAACAAGCACCTGATATATTGATCAGCATGTGTCGCCCTTCTCGTTTGGACACCACATACTTGGGACAGCGATTTTGGACGATGCCGGCGAGTACAACCTGCTCGGGGTAGTCTGCAATGAACGGACCAATCTCGTAGATGGCGCGACGGAAGTGACCATCAGGGCACTTCACGACATCGGGCGTGGTCATGCCTCGTCGCAACGGAGACAGGATGTGAGTGATGGAGGCGTGATAAAGTTGCTTTTTGAAGATGCGAAACTCCGCTGTTTTGGCCTCATCGCGTGGTGCTATGATGGTGGTGTCAGTACTGTACGAGAGGGCATTCATGCTAGTCACATACCATGAGGAATATGCAAGAACGCGATGGGAGTGATAGCCTCACGATGGGCGCGACGTGCCGAGTTCGTGACATTCCCGAGGCCAAAATATAAGGGATGAAACTCAATGTTGCCTGTCCCGACGGTGACCGTAGTCTTGTCAGCACCAAGAACGATCGGAACGAACATGGCGCCATGGCTGTTCGCATCCTTGGCGATTTCGGTCTGAAGTATGATCGACATGAGCGAACGTGGGAAAGTGAATTGTGCCGAGACGTACAGCTTGTTTATGAGCCCAGTCAGCGGACATGATGTTGGACCATGTACGTTGTCCGTCATTCTTGAGTTCGACGTAAGGTCGGTAGTTGAATTTGCCGTCGAGATCACTTGAGGCCATCATGTTGTGGGCGACCAGGCGAGCATCTCGTGTATAGAACTTGCAGGGCTCCAACATCCACGACGGTGAGTTGTTGTCAGTCGGACCCGTGTACTTGACAGTATAGCAGATGTATGGTGCATCGCCATGCTGGATCGCGTCGATGTGAGCCAGAACATCCTTGTGGTCGGCGAACGGAGGTGGCGGGCCATCGGCGAGTTCATTATATTCAGCCCAAATGCTCAAGAGCTCGTCGACGTTAGTGTTGGATGCCTGCATGACCTCAAATGTGAGCTCCGCAAATGCGAAGGCCGGCCGACTTGCAAACGGATGCCAGTCGGTGGGTGGAGGGTCGACGCGTGGTGGTGGTGGAGTCCCGGGAGGAAGGTATTGACCTCGTTCGTCACATGGTTGTGCTTATACAGAAGGATGAGTACTTGACTAGAACAAGCGGAATGAAAGACAAACCTGTAAGGTAGGGGTGATATTTGAAAGTCGACGGAGCCTTCTTGACGTCTGGTAGATGATGCTTCTCCCGATAATGACGGGCAAGATGTGACCGAACAGGGTACGAGAGGTTGCAGATTGTACAACTAAAGGCCATGAATAGAGGGAGAGGATAGTGGTCGGATGGCCTGTCGGAGAAGGTGGTGGCTTAAGCGAGAGATGCGGTGACGCGTAGGAAGGACACGCGGCGTACCCTCCGTCGCATGAGCTGGACAGAGTCCGCTTTCGTCCGAACCACCACCTCTGACATTTTGCCGGTTCACTTGCTCCTTCCACCCTTGCTATGTCAGACAACGAGGACGTGCTCAACATTCAGCCCAAGAAGAAGGCCGGGAAACAAGCTGGCCCCGTCTGTACCTCGAGGGCACCACCATCCTCACCAACTACGAACACCAGCGATGACGGTCACGATCTTGAAACAGCCGATGAGGATGCGTCTATCCGGTCTCGCCTCCGCCCGAGGTCTCAGCAGCAACAACCGCCGCCACCACCCCCAAGGGCCAAGTCAGCGAACGGAAAAGCAAAGGCTGCTGCGGAGAAGGAGGCGCGCGATGCACAGGCAGCTGCCAAAGCCGCAGCAGTAACGCGCGCACACGAGAACTTAACGCGAATGGACGTTGACGAGGCTGAACGGGCTGAACTCGAAGACGATCCACTGGCAGATGCCGTTGACGACGTTAACGACTTTTCTCGGTCATCACGTGAGTATTATTTGATATCATTTGGCTTCTTTGACACTGATGAGAGCAAGGTAAATTCAACTCGATTTTCTTGAGCGAGGAACCCATAGAGCTGAGTTCGGACGACGGCGCGCCCAAGGACGATTCGTCCGACTCTGGTGCAGATGAACATGACAAGGTGACTCCATTTGTATCATCGGCTGTGCCCAGTACTCATCTACCTGCCTTCGTAGCGTCGGAAGCCAACTACAGCGGCATCGAGCCGTGAGTCGAACCATGCCACGGCGGAGGCCGAAGCCAACGCCGCGCGCAAACGTGCTGGTTCAGATTCAGTCAATATCAAAGCCACCGTTCCGAAGAAGAAACGCAATGCGGAAGAGTACGTACCAGCCATTTTTACTTGAACCTAATGATGAACACTCGGCCAGCGACAAGGCCAATACTATGCGCAAAGGCCGCAAGAATTTGAAGCCGGGCTGGGAGATTGAAGACGAGGAAGAGGGAAAGGAAAAGGCGGCAAAGAAGGCGAAGGGTAAGAAGCTGGGCGGTATGCAAGATTCGGACGTCGAGATGGACCGGGACGACATCAAGGCCATGAGCAAGGGCCAACGACGCGGCGGAAACGCGCGCGCGCGCGTTATAACCCGCGTTTCCACACCCGTGCGTGTTTACATCCATATATGTCCGCACCTTTGTTAAGCTTGCCCCAAGACTGCTGTGGATTCGGACCCGGAGGACTCTGGGTCTGATAAGAAACCTACCACTCAGCCTCCTGCTCGCACCGCGAAGACGCCCAAAAAGCGTCGCGATCGCGCGACGTCCGCGTCGGGCGCGCTCTCCATCTCTTCCTCTCCCGCCATCAAGACTGGTGTCGGCAAGGATTGCCTTCCTCCCCCGTTCAAAGCAAAGTATGGCGCTGTGTCGGCCACAGTCATCGAGTGGGCTCATACCCTGAAGAAGCCATGGGATCTGACTCATCGCGAGGATCGCGCCGACCAGGGCATCTCCTTCGAGCACGCTCTTGCGATGATCAAGGAGACGTTTGACGACCCCGAGGACAAGGCCGCGTTCGCAAACTATCAACTTACTCCCGGTGCTGCTCCATTTACTCATGTGCGTCGTCCTCTCTCGTGCAATTTGCCCTTTTACTAACCACTTGTTCCAGTTGAAGCAGCTCATATACCGAACTCGTGGCGATCTCCTTCTCAACGGCAACAAATTCATCCTCAACCTTCTTGCTGAACGCTTCGAACTCAAACTACCACTTCCTGGCTCACCGAAAGTGGCTCTCGCCAGGGTTCAGAAGGAGACTACGCCTGCCAGAGTCAAACGGTTCATGACGGCCTACTGTACCAGTAAGCGGTGGTTTTATGCAGACTCCGAGGTATGTCCCTCTTTTTCTAATCTGCAACACCATCTAAACACACATCCAGAGGAAGTCGGGGCCCCTACAATCCGAACTCATCCTCACGCTTTTTGGCTTCTACCTCTCGCTCATTGACAAATCACTACTCGGGTTTCCTGATTCCCGTGCTGCTCTCGCGATCTGTGCTATTGTGGTGAGTCTGAATACTTGTCTGAGCTCCTGCGACCTGAGACTGACAATATTCTAGGCTCGCCGCGTTTCGGAGGCTTGGAGAGACGGCACGTACAACCCGCCTGTGCTCGTCAACGAGCCGACCACGAGGGAACAAACGGAATCGTACATGAAGGGCACGGTTCGCAATGTCTGCGTGACTAATAAGCAGTACCAAGATATCGCATCGGCAGCGCGCCAGTGCTACGTCGCCGAAGACCGATCGGGTGGTACAGGCTCAGATGGATATGACTCTACGATGGACGCTTTTTGATGAAGTACGGTATCACACGATCTTTCGACCCTCCCTCTCGCTCTACGTTAACACCCATATATACCCACCACTTACGACTATCATGACTAGACTACACACGCAGAATTACTGCATTTATTCTACACATTTTTCATGAAAGCACTCGCCCACTGACGAACTCGTCAACTATGCACCCGCGGGCTTTCGCGCTCAGCGCGTTTTCGAACTCAGAAAGCGAACTCACCGCACTCACCGCACTCAGGAACTCGCGGCGATTTTGAGTGCCGTGAGTTCATTTGAGTTCGGTTGAGTTCGGTTGAGTCCGCTCGCCGAAGTGCTGATGTCGAAAATGAGGGTATAATAAAATATTCAACAGACAAACAAGGGACAGTGGCGGGTGTCGATAGCCTAGCGAACCCGAAAAGAACATGAACATGGATGTGGCAGTCCTTCTTGCAGCTGCGGAACGCGGTCGATGATTGTGCACAATGCGTAGATGTGGAAGTGATGTGAGAGAGTAGCTGTGGAAGGTGAGACTCAAAGAGAGGTGGATAGAGGAGTGTAGAGCAGAGGTGTAATAATTATAGTGAGAGTTGATGAACCAGTCAACGATGGGCGGAGTAGCAATGTGGTGATTGAAGGTAGTCGAGAAGAAAGAAGAGAAGAATCCGTACAGGAACAGAGCTCAGAGGTAAGTCGAAGGAGCAGCCGAACCAGCGCTTAGCGTCGAGAGCCGGTCACTCAACAGCGCCTCCCCCTCCGCACCGTAATGTAAAGTCCCGCCCGCCTTCGCCGATCTCTCGAGTAGATCGTCCCAAAGGGCATCCTTCTCCTGCTCGCTCATAGCCTGGCGCGGTCCCGGCTTGTTCATCTCGCGGAACTTCAGGCCGGAGGCGGCGCCGTTCGAGGGAGACCTTGCGCGAGTGGAGAAGCCTTCGGGTCGAGCGGTGGATGTTGTGCGCGTGCTGTACCCGCTCTCTGAGAGGGGACGCGCCCGGGATATCTCGCCAAGTTCTAGGGGTAGAGGGACACTTGGTAGAACGGAGAAGCCGGTTTCTGGTGAAGGCATGGCAGATAACGACAGCGACTGCACGGGTGGCAGTTGAGGCGGGTTATCGGCCACAGGCGAGACGCCATTCGGTCTGTGCGGACTACGTGCAGGGCGAGGCGGTGGCGACAACGCGGTCTCCGGCGAGAGCGTGCGCGATCTTTCCAGCGAGGGACTCTCAGCATCCGCAGGCGAGGTACGCGCTGAAGTAGGTGTTTTGCGGGCAGAGAAGTTGTTCACACTTGCGGCAATGGAGAACGTGGGCATCTCGGGACTGTCCGTCATCAGGCGTGTGCGACGAGGCGGTGGCGACAGGCCTGCCGGCTCGAACGGCTCCGACTCGCCCGTGAGTGATAGATCCAGTGGTTCTTCGTCTTGCCCTATGAGTCGCAGTGCACTCGGCGAGAGGATGCGTTGCCCATATGGCGTTGAGCCCTTGGGCAACGGCGGTACGTCGGCATCACCGACTGATGAAGCAGAGGATCGAGGGGATGGAGGTCGGAAGAGCTTGCTGGATGAGCCGCTATGCGGACTACTTGATCTCGTCGTCGCACTGCGCTTACTCGTCGCTGTAGCAGAAGCCGGGCTAGCTCTCTGTACCCCAGCCGATGGTCTCCTTCCGCGCGCAGAAGACTCCGGCGTATTGACGGCCGAAGTCGATACACGAGGAGATGGGCGCGCAGATTCGGGCGTAACCGTTGCCGAAGATGAACCTGGCCGTGTGGGTGTCTGCAGCAGGTCTTTCGGGATCGCCGGTACCGGAGGTGGTGGAGATGGAAGCGCAGATGGCCCAGCGAACTGGTAGCGATCCTTCAACTGGTTACTGCTCAGACGCTTGACGAGCTTCCATAGCTTGGTACCAGGAGTGCCCGGCGATATGCTCCCATCCGACCGCTTGCGATGTGTACCATCGACGAGTCTGGGTTCAACGTCGTCAACATGCACGAAGCTATCGTCAAGCGAAAGGTGTAGACTCTTGCGGCGTTCCTTCGGCAAGCTCGTCGAGCGACGTTCTTGTAAGCTCTGCCTTGAGCGATCGTGAGACGGACTCTCGCTTGAGCGACTCTTCACGCTCTTGATGGCAGGTAGCTCGCTCGCCGCTGCTGCCGCAAGAGACGGCGAGCTTTTGTGCCTCGTGAAGCGTCCCGAGACCTTGCGCACGAGTGAGCGGCGAGTGCCGTCTGGTGGAGCAGATGCGGTGACGGTTGACACTGCAGACCCAGGGCGGAATGAAGCCTCGGAGAAAGGACTCCCGATACCGCTCCCGAATACAGTATAGTACGGTTCGGGCGACGATGTCCTTCTTGCAGCAGATGATTCGGAGGCCCCTCGCCGGGCATGACCAGATGATCGAGGCGAGGGTGGAGGAGATGCCTCTCCTACGGCAGCCTTGGCAAGCCCTTCGCGCCGTGTTTCTTGTTGCTTGTACGCCTGGGCCAAAGCAGCAGCCGGCGTAAGCATCCTTTTCGGCTCAGACGCGTCACTGCCTCGTAGAGAACGAGGCGACAGGAGAGTTGTAGGGCGTGAATCGCCTGGGCGGCGCGTCGTGGTGCTGGACGAAGAAGGCGAAGTCCCTTTCGTCGCAATGGGGCTGGGTGCGAGAGACGCTCGTGCAGACTGCGAGCCTGGCGCCTTCTTACGTAGTACTCGCGGTGCGCGTTCCTCCTTCGGCTTCTCCTTCCTCTCATCTTTCTCTCGTGTCGCTTCGCGTAACTCACGCGGCGGTGGTTGTGGGGACGGCGGTGTGGAGCTGACCGGAGTCATCAACGGACTTGTCGACGGACGCGCCAAGTTCCCATCGGCGGAAGATGCGCGCGAGGGAGCGTGTAGGCGATCCCGATCAGCGATAGCCGCAAGGCGGGCCTCCTTGTTAAAGCCAAGCCACGGCGCAGTGGAAATGGGCTGAGAGGGTGACAGCGCATACGGATTTGACCTCCAACTGCCGGGATTCGCCGCTGCATCTGAGTCTGATGTGATGGAATACACAGAGGCGCGCGAAGGAGCGGCAGGTTTTGAGAGTAGACGCTTGACGTCGAGACGGTGGGATGGCAGTGGGCTCGAACCGCGGTCGGAACTCGTGTTGCCGTCAGACAGGTTGCCGCCGTATCGTGAGGGCGATATTGGCGGGTGCATACGGGAGTCGCGTGCGAATAAGCGCGAGCGCCCCGCTGAAGACGAAGAGGTGTAGTCGGGAGGAGATTGAGGTTGGCCGCCCGAGTCGGACAACGAAGATGAGGTATGCGGGCGAGCTGCGGAACTCAGGGACGAAGGGGCGTCCAGGGAGGTGGAAAGCTTGGGCAGGCCCAGCTCATGTATTTTGTGCTGTTTCTGGCGCCCAACGTCCCGAATGTCCGAAGCGGACGGCGCGTGATGTATGCGTCGCGAACTGCTGCCCGTTGGCGCGTGTGCGGGGGATGGAGCGGCGTCTGCCCCTGATGGGCGCGAGGTGATCCCAGCGCTGGTGCTCGGCCGACTTGAATGCGGTTCTGACGCGGAAGGCGAAGACAGGCTGCCCGACCGGGGATGCTCGGCTACGGGTGATGGCTGCCTTCGTGGGGAAGACGGGCCTGAAGGATTGCGCGAATGGGAGGAGGGAGTAGTCCGCGCGGACGGTACGGGTGGTGTGCCTGTCGCCTGCGAGGCGAGGGAGGAGGACGTGGAACGCGTCCGTGTACGTTGGTAGCCCTTATCTTTGTCTATAGACGCGGACCGTTTCAACCGCTGAGCATAAAAGTCCTGGCCAGCGCCCGTGAAGAAAGCCATTGGTAACTTCGTATCATTTCAGTTCGACTTGTTACATGGACGCTGACAGATGAACGCACGGGTCAAGGAGCTGCAAAGTCGAGAGCAGGTCGGGAGCGTCACTGGCATGTACAGAAGGAAAGTAACCTAGCGACAGCACCGTCATTTGGGGAACGCTTGGGGGTGAGAGATGTTATACATACATATTATAGCGCACGGCTCAAAGAGGAAGCTTGGGCTGATAGGTCGACAAGGCCTGCGATGGTACAGAAACAGAAGCTAGCGAAGACGGTGCGTATGCAGGGTATAAGTTCCGGTAATTATTACAGAGCTCTGCTGGCAGGGGGACAAGATAATTGCTGGCGGTGCACAAGACTGGATGGTCGAAGTCGAAAGAGATTCCCGAGAGACCAAATTCTGGCAAGGCGGACCGACACGTGGGGTGTTGTGTGTACGTACGGGCGACGGGGGACTGGCAACGCAGAGGGGTGTTGTTAAGTAGATAAACCGTTAGGCGGGCGGCTGAGCTGCGCACCTGAGTGTATTATATTTACCCTGTGACTGACTACTTGTCAGGGAAATGGGTAGAGCCTATACTGGAAGCGGTAAGGACAGGATGAGCACGACCGGCTCAATGAGAGAACGAAGGAGCTGTTGGACCAAAATGAACGACGACTTCGCCGGCGGAAGAGACGTGGTTACCAGCGCTTCGCGGGTCCGGACCTGTCACCGCACGCGCCGAGCTCCTGTGTTAATTAGACTTTTCCGGCGCCCCTCGATGACGTCCACACGCGTCTCTTCCATGGGTTCGTACTTTTACCAACTTGAACACAAACAGCCACTACGGCTGCAGCCTCACCGCCATGGAACCCTCTGTCGACCTTGTCATCCTGTTCAAGGCTCAAACGGGACCACCGCTCAACAAACAACACGCCCGTGATGAAGCTACCCAGGCTCAGGAGCAATATTCGCGTCTGCTTTCTGTTCTGACCGCAGGTGGCCTCAAGGCTGCAGGCCGCAGCGGGAAAGATCAATCCCAGCTTTTGGTCTTCATTCAATGCTCAGAGTCTCAGCTCTCACGTCTCGTACATCGTGAACGGTACGCGATATCAGCCCCTTATACATCTGTCCTTGTCTATACTCACTGCTCGGCAGACACTCAGATTTTGTCTTTGGCGTCACGACGTCAGCGCTGCCAGATGCGGCGCATGCCCTCGATCTATCAACCCTGACTCCTGCAGAACGCCTCCGCCTCGTTTACACGTACGTCACGGCCACGCCCGCAGATGGCGGACTTGGTATCGCTCCCGAGGCAAAAGATTGGTCAAGGGTCGAGTCCATCATGGCCTTGCACGATCCAGACTTCAACGATAACTGGATCAAGTCGTTGTCAAAGACTAGGACCATACGCTGGCAGCATCTCGACACTATCCGAAGCGAGGTAACTGACCATCCCGGTCACCTGATGATATCTTCCAACGTACTGAACGACCTCACAGTTTGGCGAAAATGTCGCGTTCTACTTTGCTTTTCTAGTCTCTTATACGCAATTCCTACTACCGATCGCGCTCTTTGGAGGACTCTTCTTCTATCTGGGCTTACCCTATTCTCCGATCTACTCTTCTGCACTCGTACTTTGGACCACAGTATTCGTTGAGACATGGCGCATTCGCGAAAGGATCTTCGCCGTCCGCTGGAATACCCTTGGGTCTTTCCGCGTCGAGAAGCGCCGTGCAAGTTACGTCGATGGGACCCGCTGGTGGCAACGAGAACTCAGGACACTGGCAAGCGTACCCGTCATCCTGCTCTTCGCCGGCGGCCTTTTCGCACTTCTCACGGCTATGTTCGTTTTTGAGGCCTTCGTCACAACGCTGTATACTGGACCCGGCCACGAATACATTGTGAGTCGTATGTGGTTTAGATCCGTCGAAGGGCGCTCTACTCGCCCATATGAACCTCTTCCATCTCTGTCCCTCGCGATGCATTGGAGTTTGTTCCGATCTTCCAATACTAACCCGTTCTGTAGGGTTTCGCCCCGACAGTGCTCTTCATAGCCCTAGTCCCGCGCTTCCTCGCCTTCTACCAGAAATTTGCTGTCCGCCTCACCAACTACGAAAACCACCGACACTACTCTTCCCACGAGTCCTCTCTCACGATCAAGACCTTTGCGCTTTCGGCGATCGTCGCGTACCTCGGTCTCGCACTTTCCGCATTCGTCTACGTCCCGTTCGGCGCTAGCATCATGGCTTACGTGCAACAAGCTCTGGACGCGCACAACGGGAATGGCAAATACGTGCTGTTCGATACGGCAGCGGCAGCGCCGGAGAAGCTTAACACCGCACGGCTGCAGAACCAGATGTTCGCGTATACGGTCACGAACCAGATCATCGGGTTCTTCCTTGAGAACGTCCTTCCATTCGTACAGCGTTTCGTATCAGCCAAGACGAGCGGTGGTGCACTGAAGAATGGGAGCAAAGCATCCAAGAAACGCGTGGGTTTTGAGGACGAGGCGCCGCGCGTGGGCGCTGAGCGCAACTTCCTTGAGCGTGTCCGTCGGGAGGCTGCATTGCCGGAGTACGATGCGCTGACTGACTATGCGGAGATGGCGACCCAGTTTGGGTACGTCGCGCTTTGGAGCACTATCTGGCCACTTGCGGGCGCCAGTGCATGGGCAAACAACATCATCGAGGTCCGCTCGGACGCATTTAAGATTGTGTCGCATTGTCGTCGTCCTCTGCCCCGCCGCACGGATACCATCGGTCCTTGGCTCGCCTGTCTCGAGGCGATGGCGTGGACTGGTGCGCTCAGCAACGCCGCGCTGGTGTATCTGTTCCGTCCTACCGCCGCCGCGAAGGTCGACACTGCTCTCAGCGAGGACACGGAGGCGACAGCACCAACCGGACCCACTCAGCGCGCGATCACTGCTGCTCTTATCGCACTCGGTGCCAGTCATGGCTTCCTTATCCTCCGCGCGGTTGTGCGCCATATCCTCGTTCGTCTGCTCTGGCGCGGTAGCAAGGAAGAGCAACGCGTCGATGAGGCGGATCGGGAGGTCAAGGAGAAGTACCTCGACAGTGTCGACTTCGAGAAGCCTGTGGATGGCGCCGTCCCCGTTGCTAATGGTGGGGCTGATGCGGACTTCTGGGGCTACGATGAAGGGCAACGAGAAATTCTGCAGGCGCTGAAGGACGCGTGAGTGTTGAACTCTGAGTATTCGGGATAGCTACACACTACGAACGATACGAACAGAAGCGGACAAACGAACGAACGATGTAAAGACTCAGATGTATCCATACGGATTTGATTGTATCGGATCGGACAACCATGTACCCTAACCTGTTTCGCGAACTTACTCGGTCACCAGTTGAAATGACCGAAATCATTGGCACATGGCCCTCTACGAATGAGCTCTCGCTGTGTGGACAAAAAAGAGCATATAATTTATGGCATGCTGATAACGTCGGTATGAATAGTACAATGTATTAGATAGAGCTTCTAAAGAATGATGAAGACAGGCAAATTGCCAAAGGCCCATCGACCACCGTTGATTAGGGTTAGGGTTAGCGCAACGAAGCGACCGAAAAAATGGCCCGCCCAGCCCGAAGGCCGGAGCGGGACAGGAAAATATTGAGACGGTGCATGAGCCGAAGCCCATACAAACCGCGGGTTCCCCCTGAGGACAGGGTCGCCGTGCTATGGGAGGCCCCCGCGGCCCACAGCACACAGACGTGAAGGGCACTGTGCCATCAAGGTAAGTATGAGGAATTCGGGACGCGAGCCGCGCAGAAGTCGTTCGCCGCGCTCGCGCACGGACCCGGACAAAGTCCTGTGATCGCGCGTGAGGCGACGGCGCGCAGATCCGCGGCGCGACGCGTCTTGCCTCTGTCCACCATCAGAGGACGCCACACTATCACTGCTTATGTGTGTTTTGAACCGCATTGATGAGCTTGACCACCATTCCTGAAGTTCTCATAACCGTCTTCACTCATCTGAGAGACATATGGCCAGCTCCCGATATGGATATCTACGGGCACGCCCACCAGCCATTGCCTCCAGGGCACGACTCCTTGAGGGACGGAAGACCTGTGTTGGGCTGGGTGAATGTTACATTCACCTGTCAACAGTGGCGGCGGGTCGCGATTGATTACCCGAACCTCTGGACCGACATCAATGAAGGACTCGGGGCTCGGTGGATCGACTTGTTCGTACAGAGAAGCCAGGACACGCTGGTCATGTTGGGTAATCGGGATCGCACGTACCCGGAGCCTATCCATTACGAGAGCTCGCCAATCGCAGAACCCAGAGAGGTTCTCCGCGTCTTGCCTGCACTATGGCATCGTGTGCGCTATCTGCACCTCTCATACTGCGACGAAGAACTACCTGATGCTGTCCATGACTGCCTTGCGCAACCCAACTCTGTCTTAGAGCGCTGCGAGCTCCTGGGCAACAATGATACCACCAATGCAAATCCCGCTCAAGGGCTTTTTTCCACTCAGGCGCCACATTTGCAGCACTTCGCTTGTAACCTTCGCGCCGTCGGGATACGTTGGGATGCGGAGTACATCACTCGCCTTCGAACGCTAGTCATCTGCTGCCGTAATGGTTTGCCGACCTTGCCCGAACTCCTCGATAAGGGCCTTAGAAGACTACACCTCGTAGAGTGGCTAGACCTCTCCTACCTGGTGTGTTCGGACGACAATAGTTTGACACAGTCATTGCCTCCCGTTCGGATGCCGCATCTGGATAAGATCGGTCTTGAAGGCGATGCGGCAAGCCTCTCGTTCATTTTCCGCCATCTGCGGATCACCGAGGGAGCCAGTGTTGAGCTACGTTGCGAGGGCAGGGCCACCCAACACATCTCAGAAATATTTCCAATCATCAATGAGCAGTATTCCTCGTGGTTGCGCTCGATTCCCATCACTTGCCATATCAACTTCTACGGTGGTCCTTCCCACCATCTTGACCCCCGAGTACATGTCTCCGTATGGCCCACTCCGGCTATCACCAGTAGTCGAGTCGTTACACCAGACCCATACGACTCATACGCCACGCGTCCTTCATCCATCTTGCTCATTATTCGTGGTATGAACGGGCGTGCCTTAGTCCAAGAGCTTTTGCGGGACGTCATGCCCTTCTGCCGTGCTACTCGTCTGCACGCCATCTCCAACCGCCATATTGCGCCAGCACACCTTCACATATTTCCCTACATGCCTCAGGTGGAGAGCTTGTACATCAGCAGATGGGAGAGCGACACCTTTGACGATCCGCACGAGTCGCACATGAAACTCAGGATAATCTTGGGTATCCTTCTACACTCAACCCGCGCGGTCCTCGAGGGTCGAAGGCCTCGGGACAGCTTACTGCTCCCCAAGTTACAGTCGCTCGACATCGCCCTGGAAGACGCCGGTATCTGGCATCGGCGTGACAACGATTCTTCGGTGGACGAACCTCTCACGGACAAGCTACGCCAGCTTCTCGTTGCACGCGCCGCGCTTGGTGTCCCGCTGCGCTCGATCAGCATGGTGGAGGGATCTCTTCAAGCAGCGAAGTACACACCGCGCTGGAAGGGCGACGAACCGTGTAGAATTCCGCCGGTCACTATTCCTGTCGAAGTGCGAGAGCTCTTAGAAGATTGGAACTGACTCTATGTAACGTCGATACATGAACTGTTGCTGGTCACAACCCACACTAGTGTGCTAGTATAACGGCAATGTCTATAGCAATCAAATTCTATCGGTTACCGAAATCTAGGCTATATTTGACAGTGTGATGAGAGACCGTTCGCAGTAGCCGTGGAACATAGTAAGAACGCGCTGGAACGCGTATACTCAATCGCAGCCCCTCGCTTGATCCAGTCTGACGTGATGAAAACTTGCGAGAACTGCGGTGTGAAGAAAGTCTTGTGACCGCGTCTTGACGCGGCAGGCGGCGACAGGCGGCGACACCTGCGGTTTGCGTTGTGACTCTCACCTCCATCTTGTATCGTACAATTGACTTGCGAAGATCGGAACAAAACTGACACTCGATGTCCCATCCGGACCCACCGGTTCCCAGCCCATCTCGCGATCGTGACCTAGACTGGAACCCCAAATTCAAGTCCAGCGTCAAGCAGACTTATGCTGTCATTACTCTTGCTCCTGCGGATGTGATTCAGTCTTTATGGACGGAGAATTGGAATAAGAGAACGCCCCGGAAGACGGAAATTGGTCTCTCTGCATTTGCGCGACTGCTAAGCTGGTATCTCGAGGACATCTCGCACGATGATATACCTACTTGGTTCCCTGCTTGGTGGCCCCGCTTCACAAAGACTGGAATCCTCCAAAAGTATATCGACGCCATCCTGGATGAAGATTTCTTTCACGAGGAGGTACGTGATCTTCCCAACGCGATGATGTGAATACTCAGTTTCCACGAAGGACCCAGACTACATCGACTCCATCTTGGTCGGCTTCGCTAACATCGCGCGTCTCTGGTATGCGGCCAAGGACTACGACTTCGGCGAAGAGATCGAGAGGAACGTTCGCAAGATCACATACAGTCTATGGTATCGCAGAGAAGACTTTCCCAAAGTGACCGATGTGACGGCCGAAGGGTATTCCAGTCGGGATCAACCGGTCGTTCAAGCGTTATACCACCTTTCTTCGACCTACCAGATCATATGAGGATGCCCGTGGCCTTGCACCACTTGCATTGTAGACGTGCTGACATACGACTCAGTCATGACGAACCGGCGGGGCTCGAAACCTATCTACCTCACCTTGGGTTGTATTGCTGGATGCAGTACAGCAGTCCGTACGACCGACAAGAATGGTCCCTTTTTGGCCCCGTCGACATCATCTTCGACCCGAATCGCGCCAGAGTGTGCATGTCGACAGCCACCCGTCATGCATTCATTCGGACCGTGATTCTGCTCGTATTATCTTTCGACGCCGTCATCGAGCGATTCAAACGCGTTCTTACCTGGAAGAAGGAGCTCGAAGTCAATGGGGATGCTACGATGGTTCTCGGCGTTATGTCGCAGATCTTGGATCACCCAATCAGTCGCCCTTTGTTGCAGAAGTACGAGGTTCTCCATAGCGTGGCCGATATGGTTCAGAGACATTCGCGGAAGGGCGGGTATAAGATCGGAGAGCGCTGGGCAGAGTGGCAACCGGCCCTCGCTTTCTTGACGTCAGTGGATCGCGTTAGACTTCTGAGACTTCATCTCACGACTTGCTACAGGTATGCTACTGAGGACCTACATGCAGCAGTCACGAAGGGAAATGTATCGGACATCACCGTGCGCGGGGAAGACGTTGTGATCATGCTCGCACGCGGCACCGATATGCTAGCCGAAGGCAAAGGAGAAGGCACGTTTCTTCTCTACACGCATGTTGCCATCACACCAACTGAGTCTCAGGATAGCATCGTTCTCTCTGGTCCAGGGCCTCTTGAGGGAGTACAGCCACCTTCTTACAAAGAAGTCTCTCCGAGAGATAGCCCCAGAGCTCGTATCGGGACTCATCCGCGGCATGCGCAAAGAGTGGGTGCCCACACTCAAGATACTACGCGCGACCCGGAGCCTCGACAGATATGGGAATCGGGACTTCACTGGTCTCATTGAAGCATGGAAAGCGTTAGGTCGTGATTTGGGACTCGAGGAGCGCCAGGAAGTCCAACGACTAGATGGTCGCAAACACTGCTCGTGGCGAGATTGCAAGTACAACATGGAAGAAACAAACAAACTATCGACGTGCCAAGGCTGCGGAGAAACACGGTACTGTTCACGAGAGTGTCAGAAGAGGTGTGTATCAAGCCATTAAAGCTCGCTCAGGATAGAACTCACGCTCTACATGCAGTGACTGGTCGGCAGGGAAGCACAAATTGCTGTGTGGGAAACGTGTGAAAGGAAGCATGGGTTAGGGGCAAGCTGCGGAAATAATAGCCCGCACTACTGTATAGGCGCAAGTACATTGGATGTACTCGTGACCATACGTTCAGCACAGCCTTCTTGACCGGGATACGAGTACTTATATATGCGACGCTTTCCCTTCACCGCAACTCGACTCTCCCCACAATGCGCCTCAGCTATACCACGGACAGCATAAGCAACACTACCCTCGTCGATGACGCGGATCGCCCGCTGTACACGACGACGTCAAGCACCATCGGCGGCAAGACCGAGCTGACGAAGTTCGACCAGACGCCGGACGCGGTGACTCTGGCTACGATGCACTTGCACCAAAGCTGGGAATCTGACACTATCACGATCAACGGACAGCAGCGCCTGGCGATGGATTACCTGATTAAGCCTTCGCGGTGGTCACGGTCAATATCGTCCCGAAGTTGAGTGCACTGCCAAGCTGACTTGCCCACAGCCGTAGAACCTTTACATCTACTAGCGGTCGCGCATATGAGTGGACGCCAAATGGAAATGTATGGAAGGTGAGTACACGAGATAGCCTTGCTCTTCCCAACCATGATTGACGCACATGGATCGTAGCTCTGTCTTCAAGACGGCAGAGAGGTCGGTCGCTCTCACACTCGTTCGTTGAGATTGCCAGGGGGAAAGAAGCACAAGCCTTACCTCGAGTTCAACGACAATCCGGACATCTTGAACGACCTCGATGAGCTGGTTGCGACGTTTGTATACGTGCAGGTCAGGCGAGAGAAGGCTCGGCGAGCAGGTTCTTCAGGTGCGGCCGCTGGGGTAGCTGTGACCGTTTAGTTCCTGCACATCGAGCCAAGCTGTACTTACCTTCTGTGCTGAATCGTACACTCTCAGACCTCATACCTTTGCATACTTACTGTGCCTTGCAAGCATCGGCAAGCACGGTTTGAAGCGACGTCATGGCATCAGTACACCGCAAGTCGGCCGTAAGCTGGCCGTAAGCTGAGCGGTGCATCGGGACCGGGAAGAGCCGTCACCTGCGTGA